AGACGTGTCAGTCGAGGGTGTAGACGGAACCTTGAACTAGAAATTTCTCCTAATTTTTTTATTTTTATTTTTATTTTATTAGTTTAGATTTTATTTGCTTTAGTTAATTTAGTTCTTAAAATCAAAACCCCTCTCTTTTATTGCTTTTATATTTCAATTAATACGAGAAAATTCACGATTCGATTCACACTCCCCGTGGGATCGACCCTTGCTCGCCACTGCTACTAGTTAGTAGAGGTTAGTCGAGGAAAATATAAATTCTAATTTTGCCGCGTTGCGACGCGCGGTCAAATTTTGGCGCCGTTGCCGGGGAGTAGTGTTATTGAATTGTGATTTTTAAGTACTAATTGAATTATTATTATTTTTTTAGGATTTTATTTTTATCATCTTTTACCCCTCTATTTTTCTTTGTTTTTATTTTTCTTGCAGAATACTGGGCGCCCCCATACTTCTGGACAGACCCCCATACTCGAAACATTACCTAATTTTTGGGCGATTTTGATCGAGCTTGGCGAAATTTTCGTGATGGCAGCCTATTATCACAACTTTTATACCCACCAGGCACCTTACCAGTATGAGAGGGAGATACGAGGCCCGTGGATTGGAGATCATAACTTGAGAGGACCTAGTGGTTGGCGAATAAACAAGCAAGACTACTTCTATGTCGATGAGTATGGGTACCACTTGAGAGAGCACTCGAACTCTTTCTATGGGTACTTCGAGCCACCAGTTGCGCGAGATTCCAGCCCATCGCTCGAGGATATGATTGAAGAATTGGCGTTGAACTCGTTGAAGTTTCGGCAAGAGTACTGCAAGCCATTAATTGAAAGAGAACCTGGTCCTTCACTTGAGGATATGATGATGGAGTTGACGGATAACACTCTTAGCTTTCAGCAAAGTGTTGAGACGAGCATCAAGGACCAAGGACTGCGAATAAGAAATTTACAAGGGCAAATGAGCCAATTGGCGGAACAAATGGACCGACTAGTGTGTCGGATAGAAACGATTCCAATGAGTTCGAGCGTCACCCATTCGTGCTGTGAGGACCCCGAAGAGCCTGAAGAGTGAACATACGATCCGGAGAACGAAAAAATCACGAATATAGAGAAAGCAGAGTCGAAGCAGCAGAATACTGGGGTACCCCGTACTCTACTTGCTGGACCCAGTACTCGACCTGCTGGAGCCAAAAAGCGTACCATTCTCCCCGCTCTTGTGCCGATAGAAGCTGAACCATGTCCTATCTCTTTTAATATGAAATGGGTGCTGAGTAAAGATGCACTAAAGCATGTCTTGAGCCTTAATATCCAGCCTCTTGTGACGATCGAGCAAAACGTAAGGCGCAAATGGGAGTTTTC